TGTGCTTAGTGGCCTGACATGAGCTCTATAGAGAGTCTATGAGGTATTGCTGAGACCTGACGGTGCAGACCACCTGAAGACAACCTGAAGTTCTTGCTAAGCAGAACCAAAGCCTGATGTTCTCCATGCAATGCTGCAGTGATGCTTTAATTCATGCAAAAGGAGCCACAAACCAGTACTGGGTGCATAGAAAGGAGCATATATTTCAGAAACCCCTAATCATGTTTAAAATATAATTTCATATTGATAATATTTGATATTAAATTTTTTTCTAAAACAAAAAATTTTTGATTTTCATTTTCTGTAAGCCATACTCATCAGCATTACATGAAATAAAAGACGTGTAATTTTCCACTCTGTGCTTAATTGACACATATAATTAGTTTAATTTTCTAAAGTGAGTGAATTCAATTTCTATAACACATTTTTTCTTTTTAAAGTTGGTACATGTAATGCTTATGTTATTCACATGTCTAACACCATACCAGTGTTTCCCTTCCTTCTACTGCTTTTAGCTCCACTCTAAATGTGCATCTGGTTTAATGCTGATGCTAACAGGCGTTCAGACAAATGGAGACAGTCAGAAATTCCCCATTTGTCTACAATCCCTCAGAGCTCAAGGCTTATTTATTATTGCCTTGGCTGAGTGATTTAAAATTTTTGTCCCCAGGACTCAGAGTTGTGCTGTTTTTTTTTATCCTATCAGGCAGTTAATTGCATTCACCTGGCGTCACAAGTATGGATCAGTCACTGATTAGATTTGCAGAATGAAAATCTGCTGCGCTCTTGTCCTCAGGGCCAAGATTGAAGACCACTAGCTTCAAGCAACTGTAAACAAACACCAGGAAGCGCAGCACGTCTTTTAACATCTCTCTGGAGCTAATTCTGTGTACGGACAAAGCAGATGGACTCTGAGATATTTATTGTGCTGCTTTATCCCAAAAATATATATTTTGGTACAGCAAGTCCAACCTTATTGTGTCTTGCTTTTGCAGTTATGAAAACAAGTCTTAGTTTCTTATGGAAACAAAACCCGGCGCCCAGGTTGGGCTGGGAAGCACATATCCAAAACAAATTCACTGTAAATCTGGCCTCTTTTCTGTTTGCGCAACACTTTTTGCTGTGAGTATACTGCAGCTGCATACCTCAGTCTTGGTTTATGCCAAGTGTTATATGCAAACTCTATAAACTGAGATGTTAAAGTTGGAGATGAAGCATTTTTTTCCGGAAAGCAAGGAGGAGAGCCTCCTCAGCTGAGAGGCTGGTTCCCAAAGCTCATGAGAGGGATGAAACAGGAAGACCCCGTAAATAACTTATCTATCCAACGGGGAGTGTGCAACCTCTAAACAATGGGCTGCAGGAAGTCTTTCCTTCAAACTCCTCAAGACTTTTCGGGCCCAGAATACACTGAATGCACCGTGTACGAGGTGACAATTCCCTGCGAATCCCACAAACAAAAACAGCAGAAACTGGACGTGCTGCTGTGCACGTTCGTCGCCCACAGGGCAGATCAGAGAGCTCATCTGCAGCAATCGGAGTCTAGGAAGATCCTCTTACCTTCTGTTGATGGAAACACAAGCAGCTCTAAATGGACTGTAAAAAAACACAAAGTGAGACATAATAGCATTAAATTTTAATTTTCATGTTTTTTTTTTTTTTGTTGCTCTCTGACTTAATGGCTTTTTCATGGGCTGGTCATGTTGCCAAGAGGCGGTTTACTCCCTCAGCCAAATTATGGATGCTTTTTAAGGTCATTCATCCTGCGCCACAGTGATTTTTCTCCCCTTGTGCTGCTTGTAATTAATGATTATTAATAAATAAATACTTTTCTCTGTCAACAGAATATTGATGTGACCAACTTCAGCAGCAGCTGGAGTGACGGCCTGGCTTTCTGTGCCCTGCTGCACACGTACCTGCCTGCTCACATCCCTTACCAGGAGCTCATCGGTCAAGATAAGGTACAACACCACAGGAAGCATGAACGCTCTCATTCATACAGCAAAAAAAACATTTTACCAGAGAATAAAAGCTTTTGTGGACAGACAGGTCAAAAAGTAATACTGTTTAGAGGTGCGGGAAATGAGAAAAGCAATAAAGGAGGCCAGGAACTAAATAGCTGTAATTCTGGACAGGAAAACCTTTAACATTAAATCTGCAGCAGGTTGGCTGCATCATTTCCCAATCTGTTTTTAGGGAAATATTCAACAGAGCAGACCTGCCGCACACAGGTTCAATGTTAAGAGAATATATTGATTAGTCTACTTCCATATGGAGAGAAAAGGCTAATCATTTCAGAAACTCTGTGTAAGCAGCTCGCTAAATGTCCGCCTCCACAAGAAAGTAAAAATATTCCTGAAAAGGCTGTGAAGTTATGTCAGACCTATTGGTGGTGCAGTGACGCGATGACGGAAACGAGGGAACTGGGCCTGCACACAGTACTATATGGGCGATAGCTGTGGTCATTTGTTTGAGCGTGCACATTTATCTAGAAGCATTTCCAATGATGGAAGCACCTCAGATAAATTGGCAGCAGTTTTTTTTTGCACCTTTTCAATAACGATCAGGTTTGTGGAGGTCATGAATAACAGCTGTAATCTCAAAAAAGAAGCTTCTCCAAAGTCACCATGAGCTATTTCTATAAAGAATACTTTCTGTATGCAACCTGTCTTTTTAAAAGTATACAGCCCCACCATGTTGGTTTACCACCCAGTCCAGATTAAACACGCTGAAGTTTGTGGTTGGAACCTGATTAAATGTTCAAAGCTTTTGCTCAAGGCTGTGACATTTAAAATTCAGGGCAAAACACATATTCTGGTTCCAGTAGCTTAAATAGAGCATCATAGCATTGGGTAGATAAAGTTTAAACTCATCACAGTTGCTGTTCTTTGGGGTTTCTTTAAATGAATATAGTCAAGTTATTTAGCCTGTTTTAAATTGATCAAGCAGTAGCTCACCCTGGGTGCAACATTTTTTATGGCGAATTACGATGTCCTGCTGGTGTACTGTTTGTTAATTTTGTCATGATTTTTTTTTTGTTGCTAATTTTTAAGGTAAATATAACCTTTCTGTTTATGTTTATTATAACACCATGTGATCAGGATTAAATCACTGCAAAATCATACAGCTGTCAACAGGCTAAAACAACGTAGACAGGCAAGTTGTGAAAAACTTAAAGTTTTAGATCAAATGTGAAAAACGTACAAGAAAACGACTCCTGTTGTGAAGTTATGCTGGGAAAATTCTGGGTGTTCAGTTGATGGCGCCACCTCTGTTTTTGTCACCTCACCACGCCCCTAGCTGTGGTTCTATTTAGGCCCAAAAAGGACGATCATGAAGAAATACGTTAACAATATATAGCCTTACTTTATCAAAATCCACTAGATTTTGGTATTTTTTTATTCAGGTATAACATCTGACTATGTACCTTTAAGCAGCATCTCCTCAATTAGTAGGTCAGTGTTTCATCAGCACATAATCAGGGACTCTGCTCACCAAACTTAAGTGATTGGAAATCAATGCATTTACTGAAAGAGCGCATACGTTCAACATGTTTAATGCATCCTGTCCCTTCCTCCTTCACCTTCATTACACTGTTGAAGAAGGGGCAGGTTTACAGTTTCCATCACAACCCAGATAATGAACCTGGATAAATTTGACCGAGGGAATAAAAGCATGAAGAGCACATCCTCGCTTGTTGGTAAGAAGGAGTTTATGATGAAACCTGCAACATTCTTTTTAATTAAAGCAGCAAAGGTTGACAACGGTGGCATTTTGGTTCAGAAGGACCAACGATGTCTACCTATAGGCCCTCTGCCCACACAAATAATCCCTGACACCTTTAGCTAAGACGCTGAGATGCTTGCATGACTCAGAGCAGCTTCTACATTTCATTGTCAGTTTGCATCAGAGCACCAAGTATCTTACATATGCGGTGCAAAGCACCACCCACCTTCAGACTCTATGCTGCACTTAAGTCCTTTCCTCTTTATGTCTCCCTCACACTCAAAAAAGCACTTTTTTTTATTATTTCTAACCCGCCTTTTATGTATTTTATCCCCAGTCTCCCTTTTATTATTATTTATCTGATCGTTTCGCCTCGTGAGCAAAGAAATTTCTGAACAAAAATTGCACATAGACGCATGGACTTATATGTGAATAGTGTGAGCTTGACAGAAAAGTGAAAACAAAACCCAATAATGGTCACATGCATCCTGTGTGGACTAGTATATGTGTCATAAGTTTTCTACGTCGTCCACGCTGCATTAAAACAGAGCATAAAGATAAATTACCAATGTTTGTGTGGTCATGCTGTTGGTGACAGCGCTGTAATGTGAACAAGCAGCTTGTATATACAGTGACGCTGCAAACAATATGCTTCCTCCCTGGGGACTGTGGGTTCTGTCACTTTGCTCCAACATTACAGCAATAGATAAACACCTTCGACCAGGCCTGACATGTTCTACGTGATAAATTAGTCGTGTGTAGGTGGGTGTGTGCGGCCGTGTCGCTGCAAATGTGTAACATGGAGCTGATGACTGAGACGCTGCATGGCCCATCTCTCTGAATAATTCAATAGACCCGTGTTGGCTTTAATAACTCTTTCTGAGTGACTTTCCCTGAGGCCCAAACACCCAGCCTTCTCCCAGCGTAATCTGTCCTCGCAATAATCCCATTACTAACCTGCTTCACCTTTTGTCATAGATACTTTTAGGAAGATAACACGGCAGGTCTACTTAGATTTTAGGTAAAAGGGTTGCTAGGATTTGTCCCTGGGTGGTGAAGCTGGTAAAACAGCCACAGAAACAACCAAATTAATTCATTTTTCTAATTTTTTATTCAGGATTTATAATTTTTTATATATATATATTTTTTTTTTAAATAACAAAAATTAGCTGAAAAAAACTGAATGCTCAGACTAATGGTTGATTATTGGTTCACCTAACTCATCTATCAAGGCAAAACAAAATGGCCACCCAAAATTACGGTGAAGAAAATGGGTCATGGGTACATGCTCTCTTATGCAACTCTCTTATGCAATGCATATTTTATATCAGGAGTTAGGGTAAATTATAATAGTTTCTTTCTGTGGTATGGTTTTTTGTTTGGTTGCCTACTCAGCTATGAAAGTACAGTTCACTGTCAAAATGTAGTTGCTTCTATAAAGTGCTCTGCAAAGGTATGCAGCCCCTGTGAACTTTTTGACCTTTTGCCACATTTCAGGCTTCAGACATTAAAGATATAAAATTGTAATTTTATGTGAAAAATTAACAAGGGGGGCACAAACAAAAAGAGGATAGAAATGTATTGGATTTTTAAAAATTTTCTACGAAATTGAAAATTGGGTGTACAAAATTGTTCAGCCAGTTTAGTTAATACTTTACAGCGCCACCTTTTGTTGTGATTGCAGCTGCAAGTCTCTTTGACTTTATCAGTTTTTCACATTGATAGACTGACATTTTTGCCCGTTCTTTCTGCTAAGCAGCTGGAGCTCAGTGAGGTTTGATGGAGGGTGTTTGTGAATTCTAACATTCTAACACCTGGATATGTTTATCTGTGGACCGTTCCATTTAAGATTTTCCTTTATGTTTTGGATCATCGTCTTGTTGGAAGATAAATCTCCATCCCAGACTCAGGTCTTTTCCAACAGGTCATGTATTTGGCTCCATCCATCTTCCCATCACTTTAAACCATCTTTCCTGTCCCTCCTGAAGAAAAGCAGGCCCAAACCACAATGCTGCCACCACCATGTTTCACAGTGGGGAAGGTGTGTTCAGGGCCTGTGTTGCTTTTACACCAAGCATAATGTTTTGCATTGTTGCTAAAAAGTCTGATTTTGCTTTCATCTGACCACAGCATCTTCTTCCACATGTTTGCTGTGTCTCCAAAGGATGCTTGTGGCAAATTTTAAAGAAGACTTTTTTATGGATATCTTTAAGAAACAGTTTTCTTCCATGAAGGCCACATTTGTGCAGTATACGACTGATTGTGTTTCTATGGACAGAGTATTGTGAGGCTTTAAAATGACTACAGTAAGCAGGCAGTTTTTGCAATCTACAGTTGCAGTAAAGGTCAAATTATTCATATCCCAGGCAAATTTGGTAAAAGCATATTTTAATTTCACCAACAAATTTATCTGACTAAAAGTAATCTTGATTTTGTTTTTTTCGAGCAACCCAGACAACTTAAACATTTATAGAGGGATTGAAAAAATTGGGGTGACAGTGGCAATGATACCTTTTCCAAGACTTTGAGTTCATCAGAGACACAAAGCCATCAGAATACCTGTAGAAACATGTGAAAAACTGGTGAATACATTTAGGAACAGGTTTGACTGGTGTGCTGTAAGTTAAGTTTGTCACAGCTTTTCAAATAGCTACAGATTATTTCAAGGTGCCTTTTTTTATTCAAAGGTTGTGCTTTTATTTCACCTGTCGCTCCTTTAACACACCCGTGCAAATTCTCAGTTATGAGAGATATTGAGATGTTTCGACACCTTTCCAGGAGTCCTTTTCATTTCTGTTGGCTCGCATTAGAGCGCTGGTGTTTTTAAACACCTGGAGGCCCGTCCTTCTAAGCACATTCCAAGTCAGATGCCAATCAGTGACCCTCCAGTCGTAACCCTGGGTCGTTGGATGAATACTGGGTCACTGATTGGCATCTGACTTGGAATGTGCTCAGGAGGATGGGCCTGCAGATGCTTCAAACACCAGTGCTTCAAATTTGGGTTGTTTTATTGCAAGCTGCCGAAACTGACAAAGACCCCTGGATAGATGTAGAACTGAACTGAACTGAAAGAAAGTCCGGTTGGCTTTGATAAAAACCTGTTTATGGCTCCTTCAATGTTGCTTCTTTTATCTTTTCAGAGATACCTGATTTAGTCAGAGCTTAATCAATCTCATATCAAAATTTCATTTTTCTCACAAAAAGTCACTGAAAGGTATAAATGACGATCTCTTATTTCCGGTTGGACCATCTAATTAAGTGGTCCTCCTAATTGTCAATCAGTCTGGTGATATGTTTGCATAAGACGGTCTTATGTGATCGTCCCGTTAGCTATCTTTTTGTGCACATGTGCACTTTCAGGCGTTTATCTGTGGTGAGCTACAGTTTCAGACAGTCATTGAGGATCACCTTTCTCACTGTGGTTCTTTGAAAATTGCTAAGGGACCTTAAGACAAAAATTGTCTACGAAGTGTATGAGAAGAAAAGAAAAGCGAAGAGCTCTCCTTGCAAAGCATTATTTGGATTTGCTGTCACAGCGGCCTGCTGTCACCATAGTCTGTTGCTACCCGACAGCAGCGACTATTAACAAAGATGGTGTAGGCACCATAGAGTGGAGGAGAAATGACATGACCGACGGGCAGTAAAAAGTAGTGATCATGTGTCTGTACGGTAGGTTAACTGAGTTTGCTATAATGTCCCCACTCTATGTAGTGATTCAGGGGTTAGGGCGGATGTTCGAACACAGTAAGCTTGTATGAGTATGAGAACAGCCACTTTTAAACAGAGCGTGCACGAGGAGAAATGGCCTCGTGCATGCTCTCACATGCCTTTAATAGGCGGTCGGGAGCAGGTACTGGGTGCATTTTGTGTAGATTGTGCTTTTTTTTTTCAAGGGGTGTGTGGGCGGGTCTTTTTAAAAATTTGCAAAAATCCTCCACTATCCCTTTGAAGTGAAAGCTACGAATCTGGTGGATTGATTTTACAACAATCTACTGAATATTTGCATACATGATCAGGAAAAGAAATGTGTGTTTTAGTCTCTAAACACTGAAAGGAAATTTGTAGGGTTCAACCATTACTTCAGCATACAATGAATATATAAAAACCAAATGAAATAAAGTATTTCTCATCGAAAAACCATTTCGACCAATATGGATTACAATGTTTGATTTTCTAGGGAAATTTCATTTTTAACAGTTTCAGCGTTTTAGATTCTTTAACTATATGATTATCAAATGTTTAAAATTTAGAGATTTTTTTTTCTTCATGCGGAACCTTTGGAGCAGTTAACATGTTCTCCATCTATTTCTATGTTATCAGTGAGCAGCCAAACGTTCATTTGACACAATTTAAGGCCTGTTTGTCCTGAAAACAATCTGTTTCCTGCTTAGCAGTTCCTCACTAAACATCAGTGTCCATTTATTGTGGTCCTTTGAAGGTTTTAGAGGGGTGTTTCTCAGGGCTCTTTTTTTCTTTCTTTTTTTAAACTTAAATTTAGAATACATTTTCTGCATTGAAAAACATAAAAGCCAATTTTTCCCTAATACAATATTTTTTAAAGATTTTGGGGGGAGTTTCTGGCTCCTAAATATATGTCAACCATTAGCCTTAGGTAACCTTCTTAAAAAGATTAACCATTGGTTTATTTGGAGGTTTGATTAAGACAGGATCAAGTAGAGGATTTAAAGGACATTTAAACATTTTTTTAATCCAATCATCACATAAACATGGAGGAGAATGTAATGCACATAAACAAGCAGAGGCTTACAGTAGTTTAGAAAAAAGTTGTGCAATTTGTACCGTTTATTGGTGAAGCTGTGTGATTGTTTTTGTTGCGGAGCGAACCTCCCGGTCTGCTGCAGCAGAGATTTTCATGTCTTTTCAAAACTCGACTGTTTGTTTTCTTTGGTCCAGGTCCGGAATCTGACCCTAGCCTTCCAGGCCGCCGAGAGCATTGGCATCAAACCTTCCCTGGTGAGCCGAGCTGCCCCCCACACACACACACACACACACACACACACACTAACTCTGGACCTCGTTTCATTAGTTGTTTTATTCTTTTAGTTTTTTTTTTAAGTGTGTTGAGATGATTTTGTCCGATAAAAAAGATGAAAAAAGAAAAAATATCACACATTCATTTCTTTAGCTATAATAGATTTTATACCAATAACCTCATGATGAATGTGAAATGAGAGTTCCCCTAAAGTTGTGGAGCTCTTCATTCGCTGTTAACGATCTTATGTCCTTATTCACTGGGCTTTAGAAATCGGCTTATTTTTCATTAGAAAAACAATATGGCCTCTGACAGCTTGTTTAACATGAGTAATGTGAGTAATAGTCAACTGTATGGTAATATTTACTCTTCATGAGAAATCCTGGTGTTTTTTGAGTAAACAAAGTCAGGTTGCTGTTTTCTTCCACTGAAGCCTCACATAGTGCGGTAAAGTGCTGGGATGTTCCTGTAAAACTGGAAGCCTGTTCAGTTATTCACACTGTGTTGTCATGTCAGGTTATTATTATAGATAATGCTTAGTTCCAGAGTGTTTTTATTAAGCACAAGTCAATTTTTGCTTAATATGCTTAAAGATATAGACAGATATATTTAAGACATATTAAAGGAGCGTGGATTTGAAAACCTTTCTGCAATCAGCAAAATACGGTAACCAGTTTAGGCATTAATTCTTAGTTTGAAACTGAGTTTTAGTTAAACTTTTTATTTAGTTTAAATGAACTGATAATCCATCCTATGAATGGACTAAATGTCGAAGAGACATCGATAGGTTATGTCCAAACATCCACTCTGCGTCAGCTCCAGCACGCTGATCAACTCCTCAAATTACATTTGCATTATTGACTTTTTTTTCTTATTAATTCAAACATCACTCAAGCATTTTCAATCAGTTTGCCATCTCTGATGTCAGCTGGGTGAGAGTCAATATGGCTACACCCCTGAGAGAAGGAAGACGTGCTGCTTTACATTTGCTTAAGTCAAAAAAAGAAAGTCAAAAATGTTATTTTTGTTTTTAAATGTACTGTAGGATCACGGTCGTTGAAGAAACTCAATTGTTTGTTTTTTTATATGATAGATGTGGCTCATCGTCTGAAGCCTCCTTATGTCGGGGGGGGTTTGGAATATAAAGGCCATCAGTCAGTTGGACTCAAACTGATTATTCTGAGGCTTTGATTGGTGATCAGTCAATAAGGACAGAGGATCGGAAAACAGCATGGCCGAACAACACAGTGCTACTGAGAAACGTTACTTAAAAAGTTACTAGTTATAGTTACTAGTTACCTCTGAGTGACTGTGTTAGTAACAATGAAGGTAACAAGGTGAAGTAACTATGCAGTTACTTTTAATGATCTAAAATGACTGGATAATTTTCTTGTTATCTGAACTTTAAAAACAGCTAAAGGTTAATTATGAAATATAAGATATTGATTGATTTAACTTTTTAAAATAACTATCATTAAAAACATGTAAACTAGTCTAGACATTGTGATTATGTAGGTTTAATTACGTTTTTTGCTTATAATAAAACATAACAAAGCAAATTACATGTTTATAACTTTATATTTTAAACGCTGACAGTCTTTAATTGGCAATATAAAGTGGTATGAAGCTGAAAAGCATTATTTTCAAGCAATTTCAAAAAGCAAAATTTCCTTTAAAACAGAATTAACAGATGTTACACTATTCTAGAAAAAAAAACTGCAAAAAAGAAAATAATAGTATTTCTGTGTGAAAACAAAACAGTAAACAATGGATTTAAATTTAGTGTAGCGTAAAAAGCAATATGTGGGCAGCCAGCCGCCAATCTGTTGCTGAAGGTTAGATGATTTGAGTATTTTTTTTAATCAAAGCTGCTCCTAAGCTACCCATATACACTTTGTTTCTGCACAGACTTCAGCGAGCGCTTTTTTTTTTTTTTTAGAAACACTGTTGTCCAATCAGCGGCTCTGTGCCGTCATCTCTTCTATCAGTCTGGGTTGAAGTCATCAGGGTCATGTATTCCTGTATCTGAGCTCCCTACAGTAAAATGTATTTCCCCATTGTGGGACAATAAAGGGATTTTCTATTCTAAAACAATGATCAGCTGGCTAATTTAAATACACAATATGAAAACAGTAGAAAAAACACATGCACACTTGCTAGAACATGCAAAGCTGATCTTTATACCAGCTGCAAAGCAATTTTGGTGTTTAAAATAAAAATGTGTTTAAGCTGCGGTTCTTTATGAATATGCAAATAATATGTTTATGATTAAGCCATGCAAATTTATAGGTGGGGGACACTTTTTTTTTTTTCTAAACCTGAAACTAATTTCCAAGGTATTACTTTTTTCAAAAGTCAGGTGCAAACTCACACTCTTTTGTAGTATTTGTGGGCACATGTTCACATGACTGATGATGAATAGAGAATCTGTAAAGAAAAGTGAATATGAGAAAAACAAAACAATGGTAGAATCATATTAGTGGGAATTAAATAAAGACTGAAAAACACCATAGGTGAACTGAATTATTGCGCCATTATCAACTCCATCTCTATGGAAAACGTGAGTCTTTCTTTTACAGCCGCTTTAAGGCTGCCAGTAGCACACCATTTACCCTTTTTAATGGGTCAGAACTAAACCTGTTGGCACTTTTGTCATCCTGTGTGTGAAGTCTTTGTAAACCACCTACAAAATGCTCACTTATTGTAATCACATTTTTTCCTTTGCCCACACGATTCAGTGCTCCTTGTTTAAAACTTTTGAAGATCAGTCCCTAATTCTTCAAACAGTGCAACATTAATTTATTTTAAATAGAAAAAAAACACTAAGTGGTATTTTTTATATTATTCATCAGAATCACATAGAAATAATGCATGATATGCCACTATTTGAAAGGGACTTAATAGAATTGATCATTAATCTGTCCGGATCAAATTCACACCCCAATTTAGCATCTTGTTCTTGGGAATAATTCATGCAGGGAGTTTATTAGTGGCAAATAGCTATATTACACAATTCATACATGGAGTCTAGCATCAATTACAAAGCAGTTAGTGTTTTTTGTTCTCCTTAAATGGGTCTGATTTAAATATCAAGCATCAAGATATTTCAGGGCCATACAATTAATGTCATCACTTACAGCGAAGACGTGTTTTAAGTAGTTGTTTCTTCTGACAGGAAAACGGCAGAAAACAGTGTATCCTGTTTCGGCAGGTGATATGCAGCGCATATTCAGCTTTAACCTCCCCAAATAGGTGTGTTTTATGGAATTCACTCACATCAAGTCTCTCCTGGGACCAAATCAGGGCAAAATCTATGTTAGACCTAAAACCCAGACTAGATTTGACTAGAAATCATTCCCAAATCTGGGGATTCTGCATCTGGAACATGTTTGTGTGCTTTATGCACAGGAAAAAAAAAAAAAAACAGGACCTGACGAGTCGAGGTGTTGATTCCAAAACTGCAGGGAAACCTTCTGTCCTGATTTAATTTGAAAAACTCCGAATCTGGAAGCTTGACCACAGCAGTGAAGTGACTCAGTCTGATTTCTTCACTTAGACCAACTTATACATTTTCTGTGACACGCTCGCGGTCACAAGCTGGATTGGACAGAATAGTTCCCATGGTAAATCCTGCCTCTTTCTCTCTGCTTGTAAATGTTATTTTCTGCTTTCGTGGTAAAAGTTTAGGGCACATCCTAGACAGTGGATCATTTAAGACTATGGCCTCTGCGGCTGCTGCAGAAACCTGAGTCACCAGAAGCGGCGTGATGTGAGCATCAGTTCCCCGCTCCATGACTCACTGGTTCTGGTATCACATCCCAATTTACTGCAGCAGCTCGCTGGGTCATGCCATGCAGCTTTTCCACCTTATGAGTTAAAACGGTTCATAAATAAACTGTTTTGGGACCAGGGTTATTTTAGAAACATTCCTCAGAACTTTGTGAGCTTTTATTTGTAAGATGAGTTCTTTATATTTCCTGGCAGAAATATTTAAGTTCAGGTGGTTTGGAAGGAGCCCTCCCTTCTAAAGCTATGTTTGGGTTGCTATAGAGACAGTCTGCAGGGTCCAAATCCAGCTTTTTGTATAGTTTCCCAAAAACCTTACCTGTTTTTGTTAATTAACAGTATTTTACATGCCGTCACAACTTGTAATCTAAGGATATGGAGAACAGGCCTCTGCTCACCTTTGGTTCACTTCCCACTTTGTTCTCCAGTTCAGGGTTAGGAGCACTCAGGAAAGGTTTAAGCTAAAAATCTTATCATCATTTCCATTTGTCTGATATATCAGATGGATTAGTTGAGGAATGATTCCCTCAGCATGACACCGCCATCTCTGCTTTAGACTGTGGGGCTGATTTTAGAGTATATTTTCACTGTGTTCATTAAGCCTGTGCTTCATCACATGCTTTTCTCTTGGTTTAGACGATGAGTATTTATTAAGGTGTCTTTGGAAAGCTTCCAGTCGGCTTTAAGTGATGAATTGCCTCTTGGAAGCACTTCTATTAGTCTCATGGAAATTTAGGTCTGGAACATAACAAGAGGAATAAAAATAGAAGGAGTTTTTAATACATCATCTCCTTATGCTCCATTCAACAAAATGTCTCATCGCTGGAGCATAAAGTAACTAAAGATGACAAGACATCAAAGATTTTGGAGTAGGAGGCTGATGGCATTTTATTGTATATCTATGTTTGTTCAGTATAAATATTTATCATCAGATCAGACAACACAAGGCGCCGTGCTCCTGATTCATATTCGCCTTTCTTTGACATTATTCAGCAACAACTGCATCCAGTAACTAATGAATCAGATGTCCATGGAAAACTGAAAACAGACTGATTTTATAATAAGTTCTCCTGAGTCTCTGCTGTTTTCTAATGAATCAATGAAGCCTAGTTTTACCTTTATCATCAGCATTGGTTTAACCCAGTTTAACACTTTGGCTGTTTTGCTGCACCAACAGGACATTGAGGAGTTGATGAAGACCGACAGGCCCGACTGGCAGAGCGTCATGCAGTACGTCTCCCAGATTTACAAATACTTTGAGACCTGATGCATAAGGAAACCAGAGAAGAGGACCAGAGGGACGTCTATCTGTGGAACAGACTTCTCCCTGAATGGCTGATGGCTGCCATCTAACGCCGCTCCTATCCGACGTTCATCAACTGCCCAAGACGTTTCTGAACGCATCTCCTCCGCCAGCAGGGAGGCCGTAAAAGGAGATGAACCGCAGTCGGCAAATCAGAGCGATTCATTTCACGGGGAAACTAATTGAGGTCCAAAGTCGTTCTGACATCTTGTAGCTCTTTACAGCACAGCTCGTATTTGCTTCCGAATTGGTTCCATTTTTGGATTTAACCCTTATATTTTTTTTTATTGATGCTTTTCATCGTCAACGGATCTCTTTTCTGAAAGCTGATGCTAAAACGGCTTTAGTGTTGAAAAATCCCAAACCTCTGATAAACTCTCAGATCATGTTTTCTTTGTTTTTTTGTTTTTGTTTTTTTTTTATCTAAACCAGGAGCCTCCAACAGGTCTATTTATCACACTAAAGAGCTGCTGAAGGCTTTTCTAGAGACATGTTAACAGAAACACATTCACCTCCATGATTAGATTACTCCTAACATTAAGGAATAACTCCTGCCATTACACTGCAACAGGTTCTCCATGTTTTCCATCACTGTTTCCTGAAGAAATGCAGCAATGAAGCAGTTTGCAAACTAAATGCATCCGTATCTGTATGCAACGTTCACTTATGCATAATGTAGATTTTACATGTTACACAGGATGCTCCAGCTTCTATCTACAGATGCCTGTTTTTGTTTTAATTATTTTTTTTGAATAAAGGTTGTATTTATTTATTTTCAAGAGTGGCTAAATGAATCGATAGATCTGAATCCTGTTTTCTGCAGATGGATATTTTCTCCTCAATAATTATGGATTAATAAAGAATTATCAAGGATTTCTTTTACACCTGCTTTTTTTGTTCTAAAGGTTTTAACACAATGACTGATTGTGGGTGAACGGTTCAGCCTCGGTGTGTGTGTTATAAACGTTCTCCTGTGCTTCTCCATGGGGGATGAATTGCTTTCCTGCTGTGCCCATTAAAGCTCAGTGCCACGATTGGAAAACATTGAGGTCAGTGGGAACACTCAGTGGGACTCTGCTGGCTTTCTACAGTACGCCTTTGTTTCTACTGTAACACATTGCTGTGGCTGCATTGCGATGCACATAAAACATCGTCTGAAAGAACTAAAGATGTAGAGAAAACTAAATGAATACATTTCTGACCATCATAAGGTGATATAATATAGGAAAACATGCAGATGTGGATATATCTTCCTTGTTTAAACTCAGTGGGTCTCAAATGTCTTCACACTGCTTGACAAAGCTGTACAAGTTTAAGGATGTTGGGTGTGGCCATGAAAAGCAGTCCAGGATTGAGGTAGGTCTCACCAGAACATTTGTTTTATGGCTGGACTTCCAGCTGGTTTGTTTTAACACACAAATACTCTGATGTAAAGCATAGACTGAGTGTATCCAGGGTTTATGTTCTGCTCCTGTCACACTCAGTTCTGTAGAACTAAACTCCTCCTGAGTTTAGCTCCGTCCATCTTTCCATCCACTCTGATCAGCTCCTTGTCCTGTGGATGTCCCACAGGATGATGCTGCCACCGCATGTCTCTTATATTTCCAGTGTGAAATTATTCCACTCATTTTTCCATTTGACCAGAACATATTTATTTTTCTGCCACTATCAGGGTAAAACGAATCAAACTAATAATTAAGATGAAAGCAGATTCCCAACATAAGCTGTGGATCTCTCCTTTCCCGGGTTTGGGGTAAAGGTGGTATAACAGTGCCAAACTCCTTCCATTTTTTTAAATGGACCAAAAAGCTCTGGGAGTTTTATCCACATGTCCTGTCTGCTCTGTATCATGATCAACGTTCTCCAACAAACTTCAGAGGACTTCATAGAACAGCTGCTTTCTTAAAAACATGTTTAAAGTACACTTTCACTTTAGTCAAATATATATATATTTTTTTTTTACCATGAATTAAAAAAAAACATTGTCTTAGTCTTATTAAATCATATTTGAGAAAAGAAATGGGAGGAGCATGAATACTTTTTCAAGGTAACTTTTAAGTATTTTCTATTAGATTTCTTACTTTCACTACGGTTAAAGGTACAATACAGGTCCTTCTCAAAGTATTAGCATATTGGGACAAAGTTCATTATTTTCCATAATGTAATGATAAAACTTGAACATTCATATATTTTAGATTCATTGCACACTAACTGAAATATTTCATGTCTTTTATTGTCTTAATATGGATAATTTTGGCATAGAGCTCATGAAAACTCAAAATTCCTATCTCACAAATTTAGCATATTTCACCCGACCAATAAAAGAAAAGTGTTCTTAATACAAAAAAAGTCAACCTTCAAATAATAATGTACAGTTATGCACTCAATACTTGGTCTGGAATCCTTTTGCAGAAATTACTGCTTTAATGCGGCGTGGCATGGAGGCAACCAGCCTGTGGCACTGCTGAGGTGTTATGGAGGCCCAGGATGCTTCCATAGACGCCTTTAGCTCATCCATAGTTTTGGGTCTTGCGTCTCTCAACTTTCTCTTCACAATATCCCACAGATTCTCTATGGGGTTCAGGTCAGGAGAGTTGGCAGGCCAATTGAGCACAGTGATACCATGGTCAGTAAACCATTTACCAGTGGTTTTGGCACTGTGAGCAGGTGCCAGGTTTTGCTGAAAAATGAAATCTTCATCTCCATAAAGCTTTTCAGCAGATGGAAGCATGAAGTGCTCCAAAATCTGCTGATAGCTGCATTGACCCTGCCTTGATAAAACACAGTGGACCAACAGCAGCAGCTGACATGGCACCCCAGACCATCACTGACTGTGGGTACTTGACACTGGACTTATTTAGGCATTTCCTTCTCCTCAGTCTTCCTCTAGACTCAACAGTCCACTGCTGCTTCTCTGTAGCCCAGATCAGGCGCCTCTGCTGCTGTTTCTGGTTCAAAAGTGGCTTAAGCTGGGGAATGCGGCACCTGTAGCCCATTTCCTGCACACGCCTGTGCACAGTGGCTCTGGATGTTTCTACTCCAGACTCAGTCCACTGCTTCCACAGGTCTCTCAAGGTCTGGAATCAGCCCTTCTCCACAATCTTCCTCAGGGTACGGACAGCTCTTCTCGTTGTGCAGCATTTTCTGCCACTTTTTCCCTCCCACTGATGTGTCTTGATAAAGCACTGTGGGAACAGCCTATTGGTTCAGAAATATCTTTCTGTGTCATACCCTCTTGCTTGAGGGTGTCAATGAATTCCTTCTGGACAGCAGTCAGGTCGGCAGTCTTACCCATGATTGGGGTTTTGAGTGATTAACCAGGCTGGGAGTTTAAAGGCCTCAGGAATCTTTTGCGGGTGTTTAGAGTTAATTTGTTGATTCAGATGATTAAGTGCATAGATCGTTTAGAGACCTTTTTTATGATATTCTAATTTTGTGAGATAGGAATTTTGGGTTTTCATGAGCTCTATGCCAAAATCATCAATATGAAGACAATAAAAGACCTGAAATATTTCAGTGAGTGTGCAATGAATCTAAAATATATGAATGTTCAAGTTTTATCATTACATTATGGAAAATAATAAACTTTATCACAATAGTTTGAGAAGGACTTACACATGCAAATTACTGAGGAAATAAAGCTTTGGGATTCAATTCTTCTCTCTTGAGTTAATTCCTGTCAGATGAAAGCCAGTAGTATTGACTGCATGTGGTGTGGATTGATCAGCGTTTGCGTGCCAGGGAACCCTGTGGTTGAATGCCATTTAATCGGCGCGTAATTACGCACAGCGGAGCGCTGACGCTCTCCTGGGATTCCACCTTTTTTTTTTTTTTAACTGTACTTTTGTGTGTGAGTGTGTGTCTCGGGGCGTGGCTCCCGTGTGAAATTGCCCCCCCACCCCCTCATGCGGTTCCTCCTCTGCATGAAAGCTGCTGTCTGAGGGAAGCTGCGTGACTCTGGCCGCGCCGCGGAGCTACAGATGGCGCTCGGACGCTCCTCTGCTCGGAAGCCGCATGTGTGAGGAGGACACCCAGAAGCGATGCTCGGGCTCCTAATGTGAGCCACACTCATGCTCAGCGCAAACAGAGGTTCCCGTTTTGCCAAGTTAGTTGAAATCATCTGTTGCTCTCCTCACTTCGCAGCCGATGGCACATCCTGCAGCCACTTGTGGATTATTCCTGGATTACAGCTCACAGACTTGTTTGATTTGGGACTAGAGGTGATGCGGGTGACCTGTCACCTATGTAACCCACCTGCAGATCTCAGTCCGGACACACTTTGCTGAGATGCCTACGTTTTACATCGTGATTGAAGTAGTCATCGCTGTTCTCTCCATATCCGGCAACGTGCTGGTTTGCTGGGCTGTCGCCATCAACAGCACTCTGAAGAACGCTACCTATTACTTTCTGGTGTCTCTGGCTGTGGCTGACATCCTGGTGGGCTGCCTCGCCATCCCCTTTGCCATCATCATCAGCCTCGGTCTCCACCTGAACTTTTACGGCTGTCTCTTCCTGGCCTGTTTCGTCCTGGTTCTCACTCAGAGCTCCATTTTCAGCCTGCTGGCCATCGCCATTGACAGATATCTGGCTGTGAAGATCCCTCTGAGGTGAGTAGCATGTTATCACTTACCCTGAACTTTATCTGACCATCATAAACAAAAAAACTTGAACTTATTCTGAGGGTCATGTCTTTGGATCTATTATGGTTCTCTGATCAGGGGGGCAATTATGTAAAGGGGTGAATCAACAGCTCAGAAAAGCTGATATTTTCAGCCTGAACTACACTGGAAAAACCTGAGTTGGTAAATGATAGTTTGCCAATGGAATGAGCGTTTTTACTCTTAAAATAAGACAATTAGATAATATGCACTCAAAATAACACAATGCAATGGTGTTTTCTTATTTTAAGTGTAAATTGTGTTGTTCCATTGGCAAAATGTCTCTTTTGCCTCCTCAATCCAAGATAAATGCACTTATTTTAAGAAAAAATCCAGTGTGGTTCTTATTTATTGTTATTATCCTGAATAAGTTGGGTGCTTGATATCTGATTCCTATTTACTGGATGGATTATTATTAAAACATATAAATAAACTCAATTTAATTATTAAATCGTGTACCTTTAGAAGCACTGGATGGATCATCTCTAAAACTCTATGTAACAAAATGTTACATACTGAAAAATTATACTCAAGAATTTATTTGAACATTTGAAGTTTGATAAAATGTATTATTTATTAAGAAGCAGATTTTTAAAATGACACAGGTCCAATTTTTAAAAAATCTATTTAAGAAAATGTCTTTGTTTTCTGGAAGTATAGTCAAATCTTTTTGGGTTGCCACACATTACAATATTCATGCAAAACAGCAGCAGCAGCAGGAAACGGCTGTCTGCATCTAGACACTCAATATCAAAAGTGATAAAATGTATCACTGTAATTGAGTCTGTCCTTCAGGATGCAGATAAAACATCATATTGAGTGACTTAATGCGCTCATTTGTATCCTGTAAATATTTAACAATACAAAGCATTTAAAAGCTTTTAAAGGTACTGATTACCGTAAAGGACTGTAATGCATATAAAGTGTTAATGTATTGTGAATACTACCACATTATACCCCACATATAGGTATACAGTGTAAGGCTGTTTCTAAATAACAGCTTGTGATTATAGTAATGAAATATTTCCTAAAAATTAAGTGCAATATTGATCTGAAATCAGAACAATAAGAGATGTAGAAATAAATCAACAAGATAATCTTACATTCTTTCCCTTGATCAGCGTCGATCATTGATTGCGGGTCACAAACAAAGAGATGGAAACTTTTATTTAACACATTAAAACTGAGATGACTTGATGGATAAATGTTGTTGTTCCTTTAAATGCTGTTGACTTGAGTTAAAGAACCAGCTGCTCGTTTTATTTTCTTTTATCCACTATAGTCTTATTAAAACAGGGATTGGTGACAAATCAGAATCCACAGGTGGGCCTTTAAAAAAAAAATCAGCAAAAACAACAAACTACTTTTTAGTAATAGGAGCCTAATTAGTGTATCTGTGATTACAACACGTTAAAGTAGAAGTTTCATGTATTTTTTTCTGTGTTTTCACTTCATTGGCTCATTGAGAAGAACATTATTTCCAGACTACTGGGATGAATTCAACGATACGGCATAATAGCACATTTTTCTTATTCTGATAATCAGCAGTAAATTATGCTTTGTAGTCTGATGTGTTAAAACTTTACAAATTATTGGCATATTTTGCACATTTATGACATCATCTGCCTCTTTATTTCAGGTTTGCTCTTGATAAAACTCATTGCTTCTCAATCTTTATTTTCCACACAGAGGCCAAATAGGGAGCCTCTGTTCTTTAGAAACATTAGGTTGGAGGGTTAGGCGGTGAAATGGGATTCAGCCTTTATCTCATCAAGCAGTGCTTCAATTAATCACATCTTAATGTTCATTTATCAGCAGCTTTGGAAGCTCAGCTGAGGGCAGCACAGCTTTGTAATCATGCATGTTTTGGATGCAGGGGGTGAGAAATACAGAGATGAAAAAAAGCAGGCTGACCTCCCCTCATAGCATCTTCTTATTAGCTGGATCATTTTTGTCCTCAGGTGCAGTCAGATATCCTCAACAGGCAGGAGGACGCAAAGATCAGTATCGGCTCAGGGATTTCATGAAGCTTATTGCCTCATCTAAATTTGAAATGATAATCACATTATGAAACTCTGGGCTAAGCCAGCGCTTTGAGATTGTTCTGTAACCTTGGTGGCATATTGGGAAATGGGAGTTTACTTCCTTCTGCATTTGATAGTAAAGCAACAGAAAGACGAAGGATCCACATCGGTACCTCAGCAGGCTGCCTTTATTTTCCATCATATATTCTGTTGGTTGGTAGAAAGAAAGATAAACTCTACAGGAAAACATGCAGATCTTTTTTTTTTAAAGGCTCTGGTGCTAACATGGTGCACTCATTAACAGTTTAATATTAATATGAGTTGATTAAATGCCAAACATCCATTGATGCACCAGTTAATCAGCTAGTAGTCCCAAAAATCAAAGGTCTCTTTTTTTTGGCTTTAAGAGATAATTGCTGCAAAGTCGGCTGATTTAAATCGTCTAAAACTCTTTCTTGTTTTTTGTCTCACGTCATTAAGAGCATATTTTAAGATTCGGTTTCCTTTGAATTCAGGGAAATCAGATAAAGGCTACCACCTGCTTTCATGCATGGATGGGGATAATCTTGCAGCTCATTTAGTCGTTAAATAAAAAACAGATTGAGATAAAAAAAAAGGTCTGTGTTATAGTTCTTAAAAATAATACAGTATCTGACTAAATTTAAACCAGCAAACCTCAAAGAAAATCAGAAATCAGTGTCAGATAAGCATCTCTGAACATATTATATTGATGACATACGTAGATTTTTACAAATGGATGATTTTTCAAATTGGATACCAGTGTCTCTATTTCTGAAATAAATATTCTAGGCTTGCAGAAGGTGGTATTTCTTTTAAGTTTAAGGTCGATGAATACTATGGAGACTTGATAAAAGGCATCTAGCACAAAGATTTGACATAACTCTGCACTTGTGTGACTTAAAGTCCAGGTTGCGATGGCAGTGATCTCCTCAGTGCTGCATAAATTGGTAGAAAGTAAACTTTTGGATACAGCGATGAATTCACTCAGAGAGCTGTTTAGCATGGTTCCTGAGCTCAAGCTGTGTTTTCCACCAGAGTTTAATCTGTTTCCAATGCTGCTGCCTGAGGCCTCAAAGGCCACAACCAATCAGGGTTCTCTCCCAGGCTTTTTTGTTCAGCACTTACAACTCTGCTTTTTCTCTGGTTGACAATAAAAAAAAACTCAGACTTTTATAAATGTATCTTAAACAAATGTTTTTAATAAGCAGTAATTTAGACATAAATTCCCCCTCATGCTTCTGACTGAATATCAGCCAATGATGATACATGTTCCATTAGGTGTTTTTATTTTTATTTTTTCCCCTTACAGCTTTGAGTCATTTCCTCTTTTATGAACTTTAATAAATACGTTGGCACCTCCTAACATAAGGAGTATTATAATGAGTATCTTTTTAAAATAATCAGTGAGTCAGTTGAATTATAATATTCAACAACTTTTACAGCTAACTGTAACATTTCCTTATTTTAAAAATGTCTGCATCCACTAAGCTGCCATTTTTGCACCATTCTAACTTCTTCTGTATAAAAAAAAAAGGATTGGAGTGATTAGAGACAAAAGGCGAAGCCGCTGGATCAATAGTTGCCACTGAGTGTCAGAGCTGATGGCAGAGGCCAGTGTGTTGTACTCTGCAGCTTCTCATTGTGTGCGTTTTCTCCTGAAAACAGAAACAGACAGATCGAGCTGCCAGCGGGGACGGCATGGCGCTGCTTGATATTTCCATGAATTGAAGAACAGCGGCTTTACGATCAGATGGGAAGTGTCTGTCTGCTGGTGGTGTTGTTTTTTGGACCATTTCAGGGAGCTGTCAGGGTCTTTTTTTTTTTAAAGCCGCTACTTTTGTTGAGGCTGCTGGTTTTGCAGGCTGTTCGTGCTGTGCTGGATCTCCTGTCATTTCCATTATGCTCAAAAAACCCTGGAAAGAAAGGACAGTCTGACACAAGCTCAGGATGAAATTCGCCCACACCAACAAGCAAGCAGCTCGTAAGGTCCCCATTTGCACATCTATTTTTGAGCCTTGGAGTAAAACTTGAAGCTTATCACTCCCCTAAACGAAAACAAAAAGCACTCAAAGTAATTACTTTTAAAACACAAATACACTAAAAGCATCCTGTAGAAAACTTCTCATTCTGACATTTTTTGCTAAACCATGCTGGGGAAAGGTTTTTGGTCCCCTACAGATTTTCCTTGCTTTTCTTTTAAACTAATTTTATCACTGAAGATAAAAAAAAGGGGAGCTTTCGAATTATTATTTCATTGGATAATGGTAAAATCTTTAATTGAAATAAAGTGCTTATTGGTTTGTAGCAAAAACTGATCTGAAAATAGGCAACAATAAATAAGTGTAAATCTGCTCTAAATTTGCACGGGTAAATAAGATGATTTTCCAATGCAATTAATGCTTTTGCCTTTAAGACGAGATAACTTGATATATTGCATTTATATTAGATAATGGAGTTTTTTTAATCATTGTTAATCTTCCCTCTCTGCTCAAATCAAGGGAAGACTCTTATTTTAATATAAATTAGGTGATTTAATTTTTAGTTTTTGCATTGTAACCTTTTTATTAAGGGTTTACATGTACTAGTGACGTCAGACCTGACATGTCCGGGGAAAAAAGTAGATAGAACGTTAATGACAACACGAAGTAGGTTAAAGCTCTAGAAAAGCTGCACAGATCTAATGATTTTACCAGATGAGGTGAAATGGCAATGATAGGTGGCGAGAGCTCAGTTAAAAAAGACGTAACCAAATAAATTGACTTATTTCTTTATGAACAATATGCATGCATACAGACATTTTTGTCTTGCCTCCCCATAGCCATGGCTATTAGGATACAAATAGAGATACCATTAGGATCACAACTGATAGAAACCCACTGCTTTCTGTCTAAACTGTGCGTAACC